GGTTTATCAGACTATGCAGTGAATACCCAACTACCAAAGGGCAAAAAGGCTTGATCATGTTTAAGGAGATAACGATAATGCTAATTACAAAAAGCAGCGAAAGAGGGGTGGTTCTATGATTTTGCCTACTCAGAAAACAGAAACAGTTGACAGACATTTTAAAACATATTTTTAATTTTCTATTTTTAAGATTCTGTCTTCTCATATAACTCGAGTCAGTTTAGTCTTGAAGTTTTTTTGCAAGTCATGACACCAAACATGAGATTACTTTTAAAGCTGGCCTCTGGCTCTTTTAACCAGACAAACTCACTGTGCCAGCTCAAACATAGCACAGGGATGTGAATGTCTAGTCGATATAGAAACACAATCTGAGGGATGGGGGCTGCCTGTCTCATGTTATAAGGAGAATCTCATCGCTGTGGGGCGAGAGATGTCAGAGCTCAGTTAGTGACACGGTAAACACGGTCATTAAGAATGCCCCCTGGCTGAGAGTGGCAATCCCTGCACTCCAACAGCAAACAATTTTACAACACAATCACACTATGCACAGAGAGTTATATCTAAATCAGTTTGGTGCTGTCAACATCAGTGCTGCTGGAGTGCTATATAGTGTCAGTCAGTTAACCTTTAGAGTGGGAAGAGATGGGTCCTAGAGGTTAAAGGTCAGGAAACAGATTTAAAAGATTGATTTCACCACCTTTGAAACATAATGGGTGACTTTTTGGCTTGGGATGTTCTCTGTCTGAATAAACTAGAAGCCCTGCTCCTGAAGACCCACTGCCTGCAAAATTTCCAACCTGCTTCAACACACCTGCCTGTGATTTTCAACTGATCCTGAAGACTTTGATTAGCTAGTTCAGGTGTGTTTTATTAGGGTTAGAGTTTTGCAGGACTTTGTAGGACAGTGGGTCTCCAACAACAGGGTTGAAGATCTCTGGAGCAGTGGTTCTCAACCCTGGTCCTGGGGAGCCCCGCTCTGCACATTTTGTCTCCCTTATCTGATACACTCGGATAAGGGAGTTCATCGAGCCCTCTCTTAACAATCTGATGATCTGAATCATGTGTGTTAAATAAGGGAGACACACAAAATGTGCAGAATGGGGGTCCCCAGGACCAGGATTAGGAACCACTGCTCTGGAGTAAACAATAAGGAAAAACAATTGACCCTTCGCAGGGAATTTGATTGACAGGCGATCTGATCAATCGTAACGACGAATCCACCATTTTGTCTGACAAACAAATCAGTCAGGAGAGTAGATGAACTTCAGTGGACTTAAACTTGAAAAATAGTGTGTACTGACATATTTCTGCGTTTGAAATAAAATACCTTGTGATGTTCATTCGTTTATTTTGTGCTTTAAGTAAATATGAAAAACGATCAGTTCACGTGCCGCTTGAACTGAGACGCTACAGCGATCTGTCATGGCACATTAAAGAGCTACAAAACGGTATTTATTGTTTGAATTTTTTGAAAAAAAAAGAAACAAAATTAAAAGTAACCTGCTCTGTCTTGTCTGTTGACGCATTGTTTAGTTTCCTCTTTGCACGGCAATGTATATTTTCACTGCACACGATGTGTGGCGTAAGCCACATGGCTTGTCGGACACAGCAACAGTAGCTAAGGGGGGGTGGGTCTTTGCGAAGGGTAAATTGCTGTGTCTAATTTGAAGGCTGCGCCCTCCGAAGGTCACATTTGTCGGCCGCATACATCACTGAGGCTGTCAAGTAGCCATTACATTTCAAAGTGAGAAAGAAATTACAATAGTTTATACCTCACAAGGAATTATAGTCAATTTTATGATGGTTATTTTTTCTGAAATGAGACATCCTTGATGACGTATGCTGACAAATGGGACCTCCAGAGGGCGCAGCCTTCAAAATGAGACAGCCCATGGAAGCCTGTTTTTGCCTTATAAAAGGATATTCTGACTTTACTGCTTATAATTGCAACTTTGGATCTCCCAGTTGTGACTTTATATCTCATAACTGCTACTTTGTTTTTTATAATAGTAACTTTATATCTCACAGTCTCACAAATGAGTTTAAGTATCACAAATGTGACTATTTCTCACCAGTATCTCACTATTGGACTTTAAATCTCACAAAGATGACTTTATAACACTGATACAGATATATCATATATACAGTCATACACTAAAACAACAACAACAAGTATTATATTTGGTCTTACCAAGTGTAATTTGGACATAATACTATGATAATTACCATATTTTTGGACATGTCTCGTGGTATTTCCATGGCATTCTTTGAAGTACCAATGTAAATACAATGGAACACGAATTTAGTAATCCCTTTGTACCTTGGTATATGGGAGATGCAAAGTAAACAGTGGTAAAAATGAATACAAAATGCAGTTCAATCAAAAACAGGTCATATTTCACCTCAATTTGTTTATGCAAAAATATTAATTTGGAGAAATCTGACCAAGGTTGGTTTTCTGGAGATTGACATTAAAGCTTTGAACAGAGTTGCCCAAGTATTCCGTAAAAGACACACTTATCTAAACATGTTTAAAACCTCTTCACCCTGATACAGGTGCAGACCACTACCATGTGCATCTCTGTCAGTCTGAGCGGCTCTGTGGTTCTCGGCTGCCTCTTTGCTCCCAAAATCCACATTATCCTTTTTCAGCCTCAGAAGAATGTAACTACTCTGAGGGCCAAAGACAACCGATTCTCCACAGCGGTTACCGCACCGAGCTCCACCTACTCACAAGGTAGCCACATTCACTCCTAAAACTTGAGCCAAGGTTTACCGGTCATTTCCTTTATTTGCCCTTTTCTGATCAACAATTTAAAACCAAACAATTTCCACAGCTTCGGCCTCTACTTTAGTGCCAACCGTGTGTAATGGGCGAGAGGTGGTGGACTCTACAACATCATCATTGTGAAGATGAATTTAAGCAAGATGGGGCCAATTTTCTATCTCATCATCAAAATCAGGAGTTGAATGCAATTTCTTAAGACTTTTACTCACTCTAATCGAGTACTTACAGTCAATCGCAGTTCATCTCCTGAATGGAAATCTAAAAAAAAAAAAAAA